TTATGTGTGATTTGAGCTTTAGAAATGTTACTTTTAAGAATGTAAGTGCCTTTTTATTTGGGACATAGATGTTCAGAATTGAGACTTCATCTTAATGAACTTTTCCTAAAATGAATATGATATGACCTTCATCTATTTTGACTGATTTTAGTTGAAGTCTAATTTGTTAGATATTAGGATTGCTACATCAGCTTGTTTCTTGGGTCCATTTGATTGGAAAATCTTTTCCCAACTATTTACACTGAGGTAACGTCTGTGTTTGAAGTTGAGGTGTAGTTCTTGTATGCAGCAGAATGATGGATTCTGTCTTTGTATCCATTCTGTTATGCTGTGTCTTTTTTTATAGGCAAGTTAAGACCATTGATATTGAGGGATATTAATAACCATTGATTGTTAATTCTTGCTTGTTTTGGATTTGTTGTTGGTGGTGGTGTTTTGTGTGGATCCCTCCCCCCTTTTTTTCTTTTGGTGTTTAGTACAGTGGGAATATCTATTACCTATCCTTTTGTTTGTAAGTGTAGGTAACTTCCTTGGATTGGAGTTTTCCTTCCAGTACTTTCTGTAGGGCTGGATTTGTGGATATTTATTGTGTAAATCTGGTTTTGTCATGAAATATCTAGTTTTCTCCATCTATAGTGATTGAAAGCATTACTGGGTATAGTAATCTGGGCTGGCATCCATGGAAACTTAGCATTTGTAGAACATCTATCTAGGACATTCTGGCTTTCAGAGTTTCTATTGAGAAGTCGGGTGTGATTCTGATAGGTCTGCCTTTATATGTTACTTGCCCTTTTTCCTTTGTTGCTCTTAATATTTTTTTATTGTATAAGTTTGGTGTTTTGATTATTATATGGTGAGGGGATTTTATTTTGTGGTCCAGTCTATTTGGTATTCTCTTAGGCATGTCCTTCTTTAGTTTGGGGAAGTTTTCTTCTATGATTTTGTTGAATATGTTTTCTGTACCCTTGAGCTTTATTTCTTCTCATTCTTCTATTGCTATTATTCTTAGATTTGACATTTTCACAGTGTCCCATATTTCCAGGATATTTTGAGTTAGGGATTTGTTGGACTTAAGATTTTCTTTGATCAATGACTCTATTTCCTGTAGTGAGTCTTCAACACATTAGATTTTCTCTTCCATTGCTTGTATTCTATTGGTTATACTTGCATCTGTAGTTCCTGATCATTTATGCAGCTTTTCTATCTCCAGCATTCCCTTAGACTATGTTTTTTTGTTTCTATTTCAGTTTTCAAGTCTTGAACTATTTGAATTGTTTTCTTCACTTAGTTGGTTGCTTTTTCTTGGCTTTACTTGCTTTTTTTGAGAGATTTGTTTATTTATTGAATTTTTTTGGTATGTCTTTTCCTCCATTTCCTGAATTTTTGTGTTGTTTTCTTCCATTTCTTTAAGGGTTTTTCTCATTTCCTGGTTGATGGTTTCTATCATCTTCATACCATTGTTTTAAGGTCTTTCTCTTTTGCTTCGTCTGCCTTGGGACATTCAGGTCTTTCTGGTATAGAGTTCCTAGATTCTGGTGGTGGCATACTGATCTTTCTGTTGTTGAATGTGTTCTTCTGCTATCATCTTCCTATCCTTTCTTCCAGTTCGTGCAGGTGTGGTCTCTTCCTCTCCTCTTCTCCCCCTGTGGGTGTAGGTGGGCCAAGACTTCAATGTTAGCAACTCTGGATGGTCTGGCCTCTCCTGGTGTTTTCTCACCCAGAGGATGTAGGAGGCCCAAATTGAGATGTGGAAGGTCCACTACAAGTAGAACAGACACAGGAAGCCCCAAAGAGGATAAGGGGGATGTTGGGCCTGAGCAGAACCCACACTCACCTCAAGTGGAGGGCATGGGGGTCAAGACTGCAATGTGGACAGATTCCTGATCTAGATTGTCTTTAACTTTAATCTTCCATGTGCTGCTACTCCTGTGAGCACCCCTTCATTATTCTATATTAATGGCCGGAATGTTTCTTTGAAAGAATAAGAGATCAAAGTAAGCCCATTCCTCTTGTACCTTCACAGACTTCATGAATAATCTAATGACCAAATTCTAGAAAATGACTTGGAAGTAGGACTGATAGGGATTGTCCTTCTGTATATATATTTCTCTTCTTGGTTAACAAACAAAACACTGTTTGGACAATGAGGCAGGAAGATAGGCTGGACTAGGAGACAAGGAGAATTCTGGGAAGGGTAGGCAGAAAGTTCTTGTAAGAACTGGGAAGAAAGGAAGCACCAGATGTTCTCTGGTGAGACAAGACCATGTGGAAATACTTAGAATTATAGAAACGTGTTAATAATTAATACAGAACTAGTCAATGAGAAGCCCTAGTCATTGGCCAACAATTTCATAACTAATAAATGCTTCTTTGTGTTTACTTTGGGGCTCAAGGACGGCAGGACCTGCCAGTCCAAGAGTCTCCTGTAACATAGGACAGTTAATTCTAGAAAATAATATTTTCTTTTATGAAGAAAAACAGGTCTCTTTTCTACTGGGATTCTCTTCTTCTTTTCTTGAGCATGGCTTGTAACATATGGTTTTGGAAGAGATGCAGCCATCTTATACACATGGCAATAATTGTATTCGAAGCCCAGTAACAAGAAGAGTATAGGGACATATAAGGTAGAAAAACTGTGCCCACAGAGACAGAGGAATCCAGAGGGTAGAAACATATCCATGGATTATCTGGCAAACAACATTGATGTCATTATTCGGTGGTAAATTGCACATGTGTCTATGTATTGCAATGTGCATGTTATGCACTATGTGTGTTTACATGTTATATGTGCAAGTGCTTATGTACGTAACGAATGTTTGTTTACATGTTGTGGTTTGTGCGTCCGTGTGTATTGCCAGTACTTCCTGTCAGTACAGCTATAATGAATATAACCAATGAAAAACATGTCATTTAGAAAAAAATGTTTAATATAAATTTCTTACATATTTTATATGTATTGTGACCCCTGCACATCATTTATGACTTTCACTTCAAAAACACATGGTATCAAAAAAAGTATTGGGTTAGATACTGAATTTTAGTGATGGTAAAGACAATAAATAGCTGTGGGACACATAAATTCTGCATCCTCAAAATCACTCCTAAGCTCCTGTCTATAAATGTCTTGAGCATAAGAACATTCAGTAATGCTTATTGTTATTTTGTCTGGTGTTTTGGTTTATCATTAATCTGAAAAGTTTCTCTAATGGAATTGGCATCATACTTGGGGATTAGTTAGAGTTTCCATTGTTGTGAAGAGACACCATGATCATGACAACTCTTACAAATGAAAACATTTAATTAAGGAAGGGCTTGCTCACAGTTTCAGAGGTTCAGTCTACTATCATAATGGCAGGAAACATGGAGATACGCAGGCAGACATGGTGTTAAAGAAGTAGCGGAGAGCACTACGTCTTGTAGGCAACAGGAAGTGAACTGAGACACTGGGCAGTATCCTGAGCACAGGAAACCTCAAAGCCTGCTTCCCACAATGACACACTTCCTCCAACAAGGCCATACCCACTCCCTATGAGATTATGGGGCCCTATTACACACATGGCTTTGGAAGTATTTTTTGTCAGTACTCGTTTGTTGATATCATTTCTTGAATGATTTTCATGTGGGTGCTTAAGTTGAAGGAACTTCCCAACAGTTTGAAACATCAGCACAAGAAAGGTGTAAGTGAAACTTTACAGAAGCTTGGAACTCACTCTGTGCAATTGGAAAGCAGAATAAAGACTCTGTGTAGGCCCTGACCTTAGGGACCTGTGAAGATGTCTTCCTTTGTATTGCAGAAGAGATTTTTCCTATACATTAACTGGGTGTGTATATAATTGAAATAATTACAGGAATAAATAATTACAGTAAGAGATCCCTGTAGAATAAGTAAATACACAAACTATTTATCAATCAAAATACAAAACCACCCAAATTATGCCCCTTAGTCCACATCTTCCTTTTGTTGAACCCACAAAAGACCCAAACAATAATTAGGCTTTGAGAACTGTCACTCATGTGGCCTGCTGTCCTATCTGTCTTGATAGTGTAACCCTCTAGGACTCTGAACTGCCACTTCCATCTGAATAAAGTCATCTTGCTCTGTTCACAAATGAGATCCTACTTTCAATTCTTTGGTTAAGAGGCCAGGAAGCTGGAAAGACCAAACCACACTGTAGCCATTCTTGTAAGAAAGCTATTTCAGGAGTGACCTGGGCCACTACAACCTTTTCATTACCCCCTCCTTCAACCAAAAGGAGACTTGAGAACTGCTTTCCACTTCTTTGCTCAAGAGCTAAGATATAATCTCTGAAAAATCCATCTTAATCCACCCTCAGGAAGTAGCTAAAACCAACATTAAAGAAACATATTTAAATTCCCTGGCCTAATGACTGAGACTGTTCGACCTGACCTGGGATTCTATTCAACACTCAGATCCTTGGACTCCCCTGTAGTCCCCATCCCAACAGGATCCCTGGGTAAACCCTGAGTACTAGCTGAAAGACTACTTCTTTGAGGGTTTGGGACCTCAGCCAGGCTGCTTACTACCCCAATCTCAAGCAAAGTTTCAAAACATGATGCACTAGAAGGAGTAACACCCCCTTAATAAGTAGTTGTGAGAACTATAACTGCACATTTTGCAAACAAATATTCAATTATAGTAGTTCTTGTGGTGTTAACACCATCCACAGGAGCCCACTAGATTGCACACCACCTATTTGGTGCTGCCACCGCAGATCAGAGGGGCTGTGTTCAAAGCCATCAGACTCTTGGAGGGAGGTAAGAGGGGGAGGGACCCGAACGGTTTGCAGTGACGATTAAGATAGCGTCCATTTTACAACACATACTAAACCCCAGAGGTGTGCTTTCTCTCAAATCACTGCCTGTGACTTCATAAGGAGCCACCTACTCCTCTATACCCAAACAGTGGATATAGTGAACTGCTCCAGGGAGTAAGGGCTAGACTTCCTGCTGAGTGCTCTGTCTGGGTCCCCAGCCCTCTTCCTTAATCTCCCTCTTAACTTTCCATCTGTCACTTGTCCCCCTACTGCAGAAGCGCAGCCAGCCAGACTTCAGAGCTCCCCAGGGGCACTAGGCTTCCAGCGCTGGGGCCTGGAGGGCCAGCTGGGGCGGAGCTCGGCTCACGGGGAGGTTGTCGAGCCGCAGCCGAGACTCAGAGGCTGGGGCCTGGCCACGGGGGCGCGCAGGGCCGGCGCGGATCTGCCAGCACGTGAACTCCACCTCCAGGCTGGCTTGGCGCCTAGCGGTGGGGCTGCTGGTCTCCGCCCAGCTCCAGCGCCGCCTCAGCTCTTGGCATAGTAATCTCAGTTCCTGATCGCGCAGAGCTAGCTCCAGGCTGCAGTGGACGGAGGCATGCCCACCAGCATCGGTGTGGCCGAGCCAGGGCTGGGAACACACGTGCGACTGGAAGCCTAGTACCCCGCACAGGCAACGGCCCAGCCAGCGACAGCCCGCCCGAGCAGGTAAGCAACCCGCGGCCGGAAAGGAGCCGCCCCCGTGGCCACCTGGCCCAGTGGCCAGCCTTGGGACTGGAGCTGGCATTTTGCCTTGTGCTGGTGAAGGAGGAATTTGGTCCCACATTTTGTTCTTGGGTTCTTTGCCTGTTGCTCACGTCCCCAGCCCACCCTCAGCCCACCCTGCTTCACAGGAAGAGCCATGTTCCCCGCAGGTGATGCGTTTCTCTGCAAGGTTATTGCTCCCTTAAGCTCTGGCCCAAAGGTAAAAGAGAGAAACCGCTTGCTGCTTCTGACCTGGGAATCCTAATCAGTAGGATATGCACACGGAGAATATGCGAAAAGGGGCGTGTGTGTCTGTGTGTGCATGTGTGTGTTTGGCATTTTGATTATTTTCCTATGATTGTTTTCTGTGAGGTCAAAAACCTACATGCGTGTATGTATATGTATTTATTAATACATTTGCATATGTATTTATTCTTGAGCTAGGAAGAGAGAAAAAGAGACAGTCAGGCTGAGGCTGATAAAGGGAAGTCATTGTTGAGTACGTTCAGTGTCTAGAGGTGAACTTTGGAACCACAGCAAATCAAGGTAGCGACTAGAGGTGATAAACCCTTCTCCGGGTAGATTACAGCAAAGGTCTGAGATGTTCATCCAGTACACAGCAAATCTCCCTGCTTCCCAGACAGATGGAAAAGACAGGCGTGGGCAAGATCTTAAAGAGTGGACAGAAGGGAGCGGAGAGAGGGGAGACTTGGTGCTGGAAAATGACTTGGGGTGGAGGGAAGGCAGATCAGGCTTCAAGGGCTTCTGAAGGGTTGTCAAGAGCGGTCACTGGTTGCATGTGGGCAGTTCAAGGTTAGCATGATATGAGAGCATCTGAGGAGGTGGGGGACAGCAAAAGCCTGGAGTTGGTAGGGAGAAAGAGAGCTTTAGGTACCCCCCACCCCCAGCAACCAACCTTTCCTAAAGGTGTTTGCTTCCTTCCGTTTCCACAACACATTCCGTCAAGATCCAGAGGTCCATGCTTTCATTTTATTTTTTCATGGAATCTGGGTCATGACATGACTGGAAGAAACTGAAGTGTTTACAACACCAGAAAGATTTGGAGAGAGAAAGTGATTAAGGCTTCGTTTCATGAAATATTTACACAGCTCTTGCGTGGGCTTTTGTTTGCTCTCGTTGGTGCTTCTGCATATTTTACCTTGCTGATGTTTTGAGCAGACTTCTCCTGAAAGAGCCTATTTTCCAGTTATAAACTATTCTTTCCTTCCCACTGTGTTCACCCTTGGCCTGTACCAAGCAGCAGTTGTGGGAATAAAGATACATGAGTCAGAGTACAAAGAAGAAAATCTTCTCTATCGCTCACCTCAACTGGCCAGAGTTTATGTAGAGAATGTTCATTGATGAAGAGTAAATAAGAATGTTTATTATTTTTTCCAAGTTAGTGTGGTGTGTGTGTGTGTGGTGTGTGGTGTGGTTTGTGTGTGTGTGTGTGTGTGTGTGTGTGTGTGTGTGTGTCTGTGTGTGTGTTTAATGGGATGGGGGGACTGTATTGATACTAAACAGGAAAACAATAAAGTAACCACCACCACCAGTCTAGACGTTCTATGACTAAAACAGAGCCAGGAACACAAGGAGACACATGGTGGTGAGGTGTCACCTAATCACCAATTACTGGGGGGAACATAGCACAGCACGCCATAGCACACTCCCAGGGTAGAGGGATGAAGGACCAGCTAAGTCAAGTCAACCTCAGTTGATGAGGAAGTGTACTTCCAGCAGGAAATACTAAAATTGGAGTCCCTCAAAGACTTTCCCATCACAATTATTAGTTCCTACAAAATTTTCTTGATTATGCCTGAAATATACTTAAAAGGATGCATTTAGATACAACTGTCCTCCACTGTTGGAGTTCTGTCACAAAATCTGTCCCTTAGAGGGAGGCCATTAAATATCAATCATAGAATCACAAAATGATAGACGAGAAGGGCGCAATTTTCATCACAGCTTGCACTGGGGCAATCTGTGGAGGCTGCTTCCGCCCCTTCTGTACTCACTCACTCCTTCATTCAGCCAGAAAGTCACTTGCTCATTCATGCAGTCAACATGTATTTTATTGAACAAGGCATGGTCCTCGAATATGAAATACAAGAATAAATAAAACACAGTGTGAGCTTACAGCACTTAATGAAGAGACGGATGACAATCGCTAAGGGACTGTGAGAAGGAGCTTCAGTGACCAGGCTGAGGAGGAGAGGAGCACAAGGCGAGTTTCTCAGGCACCAACTATGATGAGAGCTGCTGTCCTGGAGAAGGGATGAAGGAAAGGTCTTAAGGAAGCAGAGGCCCGGGAGGGCAATCCTGTGAGTCCATAGCTAGGAGATGGGGACAGAGAAAGAAGCGGTCTATTGCCAAACTCAGTCCAGAAGGGCTTCTACCTCAGCCTTCAGGAAGCCCTTCTGTTTGGAGACAATGACTCCATTCATAGTGAGGTTGTTCTAGATTGTGTTTACCGACATCTATATCCTCCCAAGATCTACAAATCTTAGTTAGCTTCATTTGCAATTGTCTGCTCAGAGGAGAAAAAGGCCTTTGAGTCAGTCCTGACTTTGTGTGCCCCAGGGTCTATCGTCACTTTGTGTGTTGTGAAAGTAATGGAGGGAGGAGAGATTGAGTTTATAGAAATGAATTTTAGAAATGTGGGAAATCTTTCCTGGCTTCTTTTTAAATTTGTATTTTTTTACTTACTTGTTTGTTTTGACACATGATCTTGCTCTGTAACACAGACTACTCTTAAGCTCACAATCTCCCTGCCCCAGCCTCTCGAGTTTGATGAAAATAGGCGTGCACTACCACACCTAGCTTGGAAATCTTATTTTTATGGTAACAGAATTCAGGGATAAAGGATGGATATTAGTGACTACACAAAGCATTTAAATATCTCAAGAGTCTACATGAGTCAAGTGCAATCAACAAATAACAATTTACTCTGGAAAATGGATCAGAGAAATCCCAAAAGCCACATAGAAGTTTTAGTTAACTTTTAAGTGAGAGAAATAGCTATGTCAATCCCATAGTGATCATCAGTAAGTGACCTTCTGGACCTGAACTTTTCAAACCTCAGACATAAAATGACCATGGAATCAGTTTAGTGAATGTGATCAGCATTGTTATTGCTGAATATACCAAAGATCAAGGTCACATATAAAGGTGGATATAGCCCAGGACACTTTTAAATGATATGTTTGTATGTAGGTATGTAATGATCCATGATGTAATCACGTACCTCCTGCTCCCCATGTCCCAAGACGTTTGGGGGCTACTGCCTTAGGTAATGGAGAGGCTTCCAGTTTCCAAGGTGGAGCAATTGAACTAAGATCCCCATCCAGGCTTTTTTGCACTGTCCTGAGCAACACAGCTGCATCACTGGGAAGATAATGCCCACCTGGGAACTGACCATATGGGTCAACAGAAATTCAGACAATACACCCTCAGTGCAGACTTCATCTGCAAAGCTTCTGCAAGAAGCTGGAGCTTGAGTTAATTTGTGAATGAGGGTTGGATTCAAGTGGGTAGTGAGAAAAGCGTGGTATGTAGACATGTGGAGAATAGATGTTTACTATAGAGAAGCCATCAACACACGAATGAATCATCTCCCAGTTGCCCATTTCCCACTGTCTACTCTCCACGCCTGTGGCACTCTACCTGGCGGCGGCAGCCCTCACGAATGTAGCAAACTCTGGATTCTGCACACTGTTACCAATGACAGTCTTCATGTTGTACCCAAGAACTTTAAACTTGTTCTTCCTTCAGGTCTCCTGCTATCTGTCATTTTCCCTACACCTTTCCATTCCTCCCCACTGCCCCCCCGACAACTGCTGTCTTATTCTCTATTGATGAATATATAGCATTTGATGTTGTTGGTTATTTTTCAGCTAAAATTTATTTTCTTAATACTTCTTCTTTAGACAGCATGAATCTATCCTTTCCTGCCATTGTTTTTCTGTTGCAATCGTTTCCTGGTTGGCCCTAGATTCAGTTGAATATGATAATTGAACTACTGACTATTGACAAGATGTACCAAAGTGTAGCATGACTCATTTCTCAGAACAGAGCTACAATCACTGGAACAGAGAGGGCAGGGGATGGTCACGTGATTGTCAAGTTCAAAAAGCAAACACCCATCATAAGCAGAATCCCAGGCTGGGCACCATCACTAAGCAGCCACAACCCCAAAGGGAAGCACACCATCGGCCTTATTGTCTTTCCTTTTGTTTTGTGTTATGAATGTCATCTTAGATTAATGTTTAAATAGGTTTGTGTGAAATTCTTGGGTCGGCAAGATGGCTCAGTGAATAAAGGCACTTGATACTGAGCCTAGTGACCTGTTCTATTCCCACATACTGGAAGGAGAGAACCTCAAGGGAGTGCACGTACCAGGTATAAACTCAAAGGAGGAAGGAAGGAAGGGTGATAAAAATTAAATTTTAGGTGGGAGGTTGTGTCACATCCCTTTAATCCCAGCACTCGGGAGGCAGAGGCAAGCAGATCTCTGAATTCGAGGTCAGCCTGGTCTACAGAGCAAGTTCCAGGACAGGCTCCAAAACTACACAGAGAAACCCTACCTTGAAAAATCATGAATGAATAAATAAATAAACAAATAAATATTTTAAAAAGGCAGTTAGCACCTACCTGTTCTGCTGTGGGTGACCTAATGGTTATTGTGAGGAGAAAATGTCACAGGAGAAAGTTTTTTGTGTCCCCGAAAACTCTTTGCCTTTCTGGCATCTCTTGCTGTCTCTGCTCTGGAATAACGCCACCTTGTGCTATTGGCCCCTTCTGAATGAAGCTATGCCTTTACTCAGAGCCACCGAAAGAGGTCATAAAGATTGAGCAGCCTGAATTCGTTGATTTGGAGTCAAAATCTGAGCATTTTGGGGGTTTCTGACTCCATCCTCCTTTCCTGTAGTGGGGTGTTCAGATCAGTAGTAGTCTGCCAGCTCAGC